TATATATACCCTTCTTTATCTGTTTTCTTTATCTTTACACACACACACACACACACACACACATACATATACACAATGGAATACTACTTGACTATGAAAAAGAGTGAAATCTTGCCATTTGTAACAACATGGATGTTGGGTATTATGCTAAGTGAAATAAGTCAGTCAGAGAAAGACAAATATTTTATGATTTCTGTAGAATTTGAGAAACAAAACAGATGAACATATGGGAAAGAAAGCAAAAATAAGATAAAAACAGAGAGGGACACAAACCATAAGAGACTCTTAATTACAGAGAACAAACTAAGGGTTGCTCGAGGGAAGGTGGTTGGGGGATGGGTTACATGGGTGCCAGGCATTAAGGAGGGCGCTTTTAGGTATGAGCACTCAGTGACCCATGTAAGACATGACTCATTGGGTTCTACTCCTGAAGCTAAGACTACACTGTATGTTAACTAACTTGAATTTAAATTAAAAAAAAATACTTTGTTTTTACAGATTGCCTTTCCATGCTGACCTTTGAGTATCTCTGCTTTTGCATTTATGTCCCGTGTTATGTAACATATCATTCCAGTCCAACTGAAAATAATGTGTCAATGTTCTCATAGCATTTAGTTTTCCATTTATTTCAACTCGGAAACAAGACACTTGCTTCAGTACTTGCAAATTTTGTTTGCAAAGCATAGTCAAATAGAGTCTGACATAACTACTTTCCCTTGTTGAAATTATTATAAATCATACGGTGATAATAAATGAAATGAGTCCAATGTGGAGGAAGCATATCAGAGATAATATTAATCAAGGATTTCTTTAGTACATTCAAGAATGAAGGAAAAATGAGCCAATTAATGAGGACTTTATTGTTAAGATGAGCTATATGGTGAATGAGTTTTATAGAATCACATGAGCCTAGTTCACTGAAGGTCTCACATTTGATTTTCTTATAATCACTTAAATTATAGAAAGGACTTGTTTGGTGTTGACTATAAGTAGATTAGAACAGATCGAGAAAAAGAAACTAGATTCTTATCTTGCTCAGTATGCATTTACTGAGATCACTGGATTTTACCAAGTTGCAAATATCTTACTAAAATTTATCATCTGATTTCATTTAGAGAATAAAACCATAAGTCTGAAATGCTTAATTCTTTTACTTTACATAGACATAGAAAAAAAATCCTTCCAAATTCTCCTTTGTTGATGCTTTTCAACTAAACGTTATGAAATGTAGCTGAAACATATTAACCTGGATGTTGCAGGAGCCCAAAAAGTAGTGAAGCTTTGTCTTAATTCACTGACCAGTGAGTGATTATACTAACTCAACAAAGTCTTTGAGAGTTACTTTTAAACTCTGCAGAGCTTTGTGTTTACATATGAGATCCATTTTTCCATCATCCGTATACATGTAGGAGGTGTCTATTTGCTGAAGACCAGTTTCCCCATTGCAGTCTTTTGTACTTTCCAACGGGTGTTGATCTGGAATGCAGAAATGGGTAAAGAATAGGTACTTGCTCGTTTGAAATGGAAGCAGCATTTTTTTTTTCTGTCCCACACATCCAGAGTTACTATCACTCCTCTTATACATTCCTCTCTGATGGCACTTTTCACTATGATCGCTTGCTTAAATACATGTCTGCACTACTATACTGTAAACCCCTTAGGACAGAGATTCATTTATCTTTCTATTTGCTGTACCTACATCTGATACATTGCAGGACTGTAATTAAAGTTTGTTAAATCAAGACATTTTGTTTTAATGAATCAAAATTTCTGATCATGTCATTGACCTTTTTTTTAATGTTTATTTTTGAGAGAGAGAGAGAGACAGAACATGAGCAAAAGAGGGGCAGAGAGAGAGAGGGACACAGAATCTGATGCAGGCTCCAGGCTACGAGCTATCAGCACAGAGCCCAACATGGGGCTTGAACCCATGAACATGGGTTCATGTTCAGATCATGACCTGAGCCGAAGTCAGATGCTCAACCTACTGAGCCACCAGACACCCCATCATGTCACTGACTTTAATGGTATATTAAATGTTTTTATTTTTATATTTTTATTTTTAAGATATAATCTCATACTCATTTTTGTCCCTTTCCCCATAATTCCTAATATCCACAACAAAATTTCAGCAATATTATAAAGGCTTAAAATCAGTTTAGTCAATGTAAAATTTGAAAAAGTCATAGAGCAAAGCCCTCCCTACTAGGATTCAGGCGATTGGAGTGTTTGGAATCAAAATGTAAAATAAACTCAGCAAAAATTAAAATTTTCCCCATTAAAATCAACAGCCATATCAGAAATGTTTTTTTTTAACCAATCTCCTCCACATTTTAAAACATAACACTGGGATTTTTAGGGCAGGGAAACTATTCTGTATGATCCTATAATGACGGATTCATGTCATTATACACTTGTCAAAACCTACAGAAGGTATACCGTCAAAGGAAGCCATAATGTAAACTCAGGACTTTGGGTGATAACGATGTATCAGTGTAGATTCATGAACAAATATACCACACTGATGCGGGATGTTGATGTTGGGGAAAGCTGTGGGGAAGGGAGAGAGTATGTGGGAACTCTCTGTACTTTCCTCTCGGTTTTCCTGTAAACCTAAAATGCTTTAAAACTAGTCTCTTCATGTTTTTTTAAATAACACTAAGACCACATGAAGTATTCCTTTTCTTAAGACTCCAGCTTAGTTACTTATGCACAGTTTCACAGAGGAAATATTCAAATAAGATTACATATATGAGAGCCACTGTTTCTTCTATTGGCTTTTGTCAAACCCTCTATAGTTTCAACCAAAGGGATGGATCTAGTAGTTACTATTTGATCATTTGTCTTTTCTTAATGAATTTCACAAAGAGGGGCCAGACATTGCCATTGTATGGTTTATAAAGAACTTACAGTGCCCTGCCGTGGACTCATCGGTCCTTGGTGATACAACCTCATCAGATTTACCTAGCTCTGGCACACATATGCTTTGCATGTGCTAGCAAGCAGCCTTTGAGACAGCACCTCATTACTGTGCCAGAGCTGTATCGGTCAGGTGTGATGTAGGAATTCCAGAAGAACCCTCTATCAGGAGTTGAATTCTCCATCTGGGCTGGAAGCATGCAATTGTACTTGCTTACAAATGCTTGAGCTCAAAAGTCAATATTTAGGTAGCACAAAAATTAGAGGTTTAAAGGAATTATTAATCTATGAGGTGAATTTTTATTTTTGTCTCAGACCAGAGTTTCCTAATCTATCCAGAGAATATTATTCCTTCAGACTATCTTCCCTACCTAATGAGGGTTCAGTTCTCAAAAATGTTAGGAAATTATCACATATTCTACCCTCCTTTTAGAGACTGGCAAATGTGTGTTAAATGCTCTCAAAAGGTCTGCCTTAATAATTTAAGAACCTTATTTAACCTTAACTCCATTATTTCCCAAACCTATGTGGCCATATAAATTTTGCTGCTGCTGCTGTTACTCATGTCTTGATATTGTTAATTCACACCCAAAGGAAATATTGTTGCAGAAACATGCTTTGGACATTGTCAGTATATTCAGATAATAATAATAGCAGGCCATTAAAAATAATGTTAAATTATTTTTTTACATAGCTTACCCACAATTATCTAGAGAAATCAGAGGTTATCAGATAAACAAACATGGACAGCATTGAAGATTTTAACAGAAAAGTAAATATGGACTGAACCACAGGAAATATTCAAGCAAATGCCTTTCTGTCATCAGTCTTTAAGCTCAATCTATTTTGTTTGAGTCACTTTCAAAGTGGCCACTTCATCTCACTAGCCCTTTTTCTGCATCATGTTGTCTTTCAAACATCAATTCACTAGTTCTCTTTCTGCATCAGTGTTGTCTTTCAAACATCAAATGATGCTTGCACATACAATGTTATATATATTTTCATGACTGTGTAGTAAGTGAATTTTGAAATATAATAAATGTCATAGTGTCATAAACTCTATAAAAAGCTTACATTGCAATAACCCTTCTTCCTTGATCAGTGAGTAGTCACCTAATCCATTGGGTTTGTTTGTTTTTTTAATCCTTAATCTTAATTAAAGTTAGAATGGCTTTGTCCAGAGATACTGCCAAAATTTGGAAGATCATCACCTAAGAAGTGAATATGATTGAGCTGTCCAAGTATACTCTTATTTTACCTTACACATTTTTCCTTCGATGCAATATGATTCTTTAGTATCGATGTATTTACATATGACATTATATTATTGTATTAACTATACTTTGTGTCCTGATTTGTTTAATTTTCCTTTATTCTTATCTTAAGCAGTAAAATACAGAAAATCAGTTTGATATATCATATTCTTAATAAATCTTAATATTCATAGGACCCTAAAGTCATCCTCTATATCACCAATAGAATGTCTAGCACACACCTTAGAAAATACTAACACGAAAATTTCTTGTCATGGAAGTGAGAGATGGAGTTGTGGGAAGAATTTAAGATAACCTCTCATAACTTTCCTTCCTACCTATATGTTCATATATATGAATATATCACACACAAGCAATCAAATAAAAAGTATTTTATTTTACAATGCTTTCTGAAAGTAAAAAGAACTTTTTCAAATATTGTGATCAGATGAATTTTATAGTCAAAGACTAGTCAAAGCATTGAGGGGATACGTCTCTAATACTGAATTCCTATGTGATACAATAAATACACCAAATGAAATGTTTTATTGAAATATGCCATTTTTATGAAGAAACAAGCATCCCCTAGAACCAAAGATTGATGCAACTAATACTTTAGACATGTGGCATATACGTGTGTGCCTCTGTAGGTTTAACTGTGTTTCTTTTTAATCAAGTGACCTATTCTCATTTGGTTAAGTTTCAACCACAAGACATCACTGTATGCTTCTTTTTTTTTTTCAAGATACACGTCATAACACATCAAGAAAGAGGGAACTTCCAGTGTCTGTGGTAACATCACTTGATAAACAGACTCATTTGAACAGCAAGAGCCTGTTTGCCTTTCCCTATATATAGCAGCAGAGACGTTGAGCAGCAGATATTTGCCGAGTGAGGACTATGAGAGCAGCAACCATCTCCACACCGAGGTTAAACAAAATGCCAGGGATGTTCTTCTCTGCTAATCCAAAGGAACTGAAAGAAACTGACCATTCACTTGTAGATGACAAAACTCAGAAAAAGAAGCCAAAGACTTTGTAAGTTCATTCTGTGTGTCACTTTGTGGATTTTGACTTAGATTATCTTTAATGGCAGAAGGATTGAGAATGAATGGAAGAAAATATAAGCAGTTAGCTTAACTAGATCAGAGAAATTAGCTGTTGTATACATATGTGTAAGTATATTCGGCTGTATTTAAAAAATAAATCATGATAGGCCATTAAATTATATGGAAATTTCTGCAGACTTTGGCTCATAAAAATTAGCTCAATCTTAATATAGCAAAATGTTATAACAACTGTTCTTATTATTGTCTTGTTCCTTGAGAAGTTTAGTTCATGCTTCTTTTACAAATAATATGTATTCTACTAAGGAAATATGAATATTCACGTTTGTGTCTTTTGTAGTGGAATGGATATGAAAGCATACCTGAGATCCATGATCCCACATCTGGAATCTGGAATGAAACCTTCTAAGTCCAAAGACATGTATGTACACTAATATGCTGAACTATATTTTTAAGAGAAGCCTTTGCATTAGTTCGTTCTATATTCTAGCATGTGATTAGTGTTGCACATATTGGATTTCATTTCTTTTAAGTAACCAGCCAAATAAGAGTAGACTACATTAGTACCAATGTAAACTAAATGCCAACATGTACATACATAATTTGCAATTTATTACACTGTTGGAATATATTTATTTGGATTTCTTCACATTTTATTAGCAGTTATTTTCCATTACTATAGGAATTCTAAGGGAAGTCTGGTTTTCTTACAGACAAATTTTTTTTTAATATGGAACGAGAATCTTAGTTTGTGGAGTTACCAAAATGTAGCAGCCATTCTGATTTTATTTGTGATTACACAAAAAATGTTCACTAATTTATATAAATTTTGTCTCCAGCAGACTCTCTGTCAATGAAGTAATGCAGTGGGCTCAATCTCTGGAAAAACTACTTGCAAACCAAAGTAAGTACGATTAACTACTAAATGTTTTTGGGTTTAGCTCAATACACTAATACATTGAATGACTACAATAAAATATAGTATTCTGGATAGAATAGTGTATGAAAAGCTGTATTATAGTTTTTTGGTAGACACTAATAGCTTCAGCATATTTTTCCTCATTGTAGAGTAATGACCTGGCACTCAGGTCTGCCACTGTTCTTCAGATAAATTTGCCAAGACAACTAGGTAGTCCCATGGGTCATTATAGGAGCAAAATTTAAAATTATGCTGAGGTTCTGAAGTTTCAAGTTTTTAAAAGTAAACCAAACATCTCCACATGTGAACTGCCATTCTGAAAGCTACCTATAGAATGTACTTTTGTGACTGTGGATTCATTCAATTAATTATCTATTGTATTATCCATACTTTCATTAACTTACATATTTAGCTCACTTTTAAGTGGCAGGCATTTTAGAAGCACCAAGAAGTCAAAAACAAGGACACAGTGCTTTGTTGCCTTGAAGGAAGTTGAGACATACAATATATAATTGCCTTATATATAACATGATATATGATAACACAGATATGATTAAAAACAATTTTTAAACAGAGTCTTGGTGGGAGTTTCTGATAAGACAAGGTAAAGAATGAAATCAGCTTGCCTTTCCCTAATCCCAGGCCTTAGAGTTCTCTTGGGATTAAGAGCTTGCTCAGAGGTATGGATGAGCAGAGTGGTCTCTACCTAAAGGATGATCTTAATCCTCTTCTCCCCACAAACACTCTCTAGAATCCTTGCTTGGGGGCCAAGTTGTTTAATATCATTCATCCATCTAATTATCTTAGTTTACAATCCAACCAAATGAATAAATGGCAGAGAGATGGCCCATTTAAAAGCCTCAGTAATACCAGCAAATATAATCAGTACATCAGTACATTTTCTAACCAATAAGAATTGGATGGGGAAATTATATTTGTTAATAATGAACATGATGTTAATGAATTTTGTCAATGTTTGCTTCCCTAAAATTCTCTAGTCTGCCTAGTAGTTATTATTTATAAGAAAAGAGATGGTTTTGTAATCACAAGAGCAGAATTTTAACTTAATTAACAGATGGAAGCAAAGCACAGTTCTGTAGATGACTAAGCAGCTATGTGACTGTGGACAGGTTTGTCTGGCCCCAGATAAACTATAAATGAAAGGAACTCTGAGACCTTCCCATCTCTATAAATTATGACACAGCTATTTCAGCATTAGCCATCTCTTACCTTTGTGCATAGATAATGCAATAGTATTTTTCTTGCAAATCTCTTCTTTAAGATATTCATTTACTGGCTCAATTAATTTAATTATCTTACCCCTCACTCTTTCTTTTTAGTTGGTCAAAATGTCTTTGGAAGTTTCCTAAAGTCTGAGTTCAGTGAGGAGAACATTGAGTTCTGGCTGGCTTGTGAAGACTATAAAAAAACGGAGTCTGATCTTTTGCATTGCAAAGCAGAGAAAATATATAAAGCATTTGTGCATTCAGATGCTGCTAAACAAGTGAGTATTATCTTCATTACCACCAGTCTATGTTTAAGGAACTTAGATGCAGAAATACAATTCCACATACACAGCAAGATTACATCTTTTTTAAGTATCATAATTTTACTATTAAATACTTAGGTATGTTCATATAGTTTAGTGCAATAATAATCTACTTTTCTATATTTACAGTATATTTGAAGACAGTAAGATGAAAAGATTGATTTTGCAAAATTAGCTAATGTGATAGGTGGGTAGGGGAGAGGGGTAAAAGTACCAGTATTATTAGCTAGAATTGCATATCAGAATGTCCTTCATGAGATAGCTCGTCTTACATTAGGATAAAATACAAATTAGCGTAATATGTACAACTGCAGCAGCAGAAATATTTTCATTTAGTAGTAGTACCAACCTTCCCATGAAATATTCTTGGTTCAAGCAAAAAATAGCTACACAAAGTGTCCTCTCCTATACATTTTAAGTGACCATATCACTTTTTTGATGCATGTATCACCTTGTGTGGATATTTAAAATTTTCATGCCTGCCTCTTTTTCATTTCCCAACTATACTATGAGCTAACTTGGAAGAACTTTTTTGTGATATTTCTTACCTCTTTCACATCCAGTATAAGGCTGGTTTAGAATAGGCATTTAAGAGATACCTGAACTGATTCAAATGAGGGCTCAATGCCATTGTCTTGAGGTGCTTCAACAAACATAGTTACATCATAAAATGTGCAATAAATTGGAAGCATATATTAACCAACAAGTTTTTGTTTTTAGATCAATATCGACTTTCACACTCGAGAATCCACAGCCAAGAAGATTAAAACACCAACCCCAACATGTTTTGATGAAGCCCAAAAAATTATATATACTCTTATGGAAAAGGACTCCTATCCCAGATTTCTCAAATCAAATATTTACTTAAATCTTCTGAATGAACTTCAGGCTAATAGTCTAAAGTGATCAGTTCCTAGCCAGAGAGAACTGAAGATGGTGTCAAGGACAGAAGAAATGTGCCAGTTAATGGCTCCTTGGGTGAACCACCTGGCCCTTCTGAGTGACTCCACAGGCCCAGAGGAAAAACAAATGATTCAACATGGATTAACATGGAAGTTATCCAGGCTCAGGGTTGAAGAAACATGAGCAAGATGAAACCCAAGAGACAGTAAAAGGAAGGAGACACTGTGGTACTGTTGTAAAAAACAGTGGACATATCAGAAAAATCCCTCAGAACTGAGAAGGCCGGGGAACTCCAGTTGCACAGAAACTGTGAATAAAGGTTTTGAAACTGATTAAAACATGCTATCAGCTTCGAGGTCAGCTGATATTTATGCTACATATTATTATATAGAGATTTATTGAGCTGCTGACATGCCTTTGACTTGGATGACTATTTGGAAAATATGTGTTTGAAACCACCATTGCTAATATTGATGCAAAAAGAGTTTTTGATGTTGTTTTATTTTTTTGGTTTGTTTTGACTTGAACGAGAAGAAGAAGAGAACAATGTACTTAACTTAAGCTGTTGCTCCTAACACTGGGAAGTCAGAATTTATTTGTAAATTATCACAGTGTCAGTAATAAGTGAGTTTTGTATTAAAAATATATAGAAGCAATTTCTGTTTACACTTCTTTGCCATTTTTAAAAAACTGGCATTTGTTCCTCAGATTTAACAAAAATTCCATCAAGGAAAGGTCTTCTACTTTCTATCATCTCTTCAACATCTAAAACTATCATACAATTAATCCTATATTTATATATTATATGTATGTATTGGACAAAATTCATTCATTTTCTCTTTGTTATCACAATGCCTAAAAATCAAACAAACATGTTCTCATATAGTCAAGATTCAAATAGATAAGAAATTGAAGAAGAACATATATATATACATTTTTATATATGTTTATTTATTTATTTTGAAAAACTGAGAAATTGTGTGAGAGAGGGGCATAGAAAGAAGAGAGAGCCAGAATCCCAATCAGGCTCCGCACAAGAATCCTAAGGGGGGCTTGATGTGGGCCTCAAACATGCAAACCACAAGATCATGACGTGAGCGAAGTCAGATGCTTAACCAATTGAGTCACCCAGGTGCCCTAAAGAAGCCTTTTAAAAGGGGATAGAATAGTTATTTCAATAAGTAACTTCACTAACAGTTGAAATTTTATTATAATTGAAAGTTTATAAACTCAATCCTATGAAAGCTGAGACTCAGATTAAATCATTAGTTCTCAAATTTAGCTATCAAAATTACTTAGGATGTTAAAAAACAAAATTACTTAGGATGTTAAAAGAACAACAACAACAAAAAACACTTTTCAGGCCTTATCCCAAATTGACTGAATCAGAATCTCCAAGGGAGAGGGCATGAAAATCTGTATTTTAGAAAGAAAATCCAAGGTGATTCAAAAGATAATTCAGGGTTGGGAACCCTGGGATTAAAGGGCAATCACACTCCCAGGGATTGCACAGAAATCTCAAACTATACAATTTATGCTCTTTCTGCAATGTGACACTGCCCCCCACTGACCAGAATACATTTTCTAAATCACTCAAGTCCATAAATAGTCTTCTGAAGTGTCAAGAAAGTATGAAAATGAGACTACTCTATAGAGATCACCTACAGAGAGCAGAAAAATAATCAAGATGATGCATATACCAGTATATAGCTGTATCTTCCCACGTACCTGTGTTTCATATCTTATTGGATAATCAGCCATTCACACACCACAGTGAAATACAATGGGTATTTTCAACATAGGCTTGTCCAGTCATCAGGCCCACAGCATAGGTATGGGGCAATGTACAAATACTATTTTAAAAGTATTAGTATTACTCTTGTGTTTCCATGGGATAGAATCCAAATTGGCTCCATCTTAAGCTTTATTCCATGGTTTAGCAGGTCACATTGTAAGTGAAGCTTAGGAAGAGAGTTCAGGTTTATAACAATAGTAATAATCAAGTATTTCTCTCCCTTACTCATTCCATCACCAAGTTCTGTCAATCTTCCTTCTACCATCAGAGTGGTAGAAGGAGGTGGCATATCACTTGCTCTTTCTCTATCATCACTGCTTTAGTATAGGCTCTCATTGCTAACTTATGTGTCTTGTTTTCCCTCTGCCAACCTCTTCTCTTCAATCTGTCCTCTGAATAGTCACAATCACCCCTTCTGAAACACAGATTTGACCATATCATTTCCCTTAACATATAAAATAAGTTCAAATTTCTCTTTCTGGATTTGAAATCACTCTCAGTTAGACTTTGATGGTATAATTCCCATTGGTCCTCTCTCGTTACTTTCTTACCATCATGTCATACTGGATGGTCTTTTCTTGAATGAGCCCTGGCCTTCACTATCTCCAGGCTTTTGGCTAATCCCTACTATCCATAGAAAATGCCTATCCCTTCCTCCTCTCAGTTTCCAAAATCCAGCCAATTATTCAAGACCCAGATAGAATAACTTTTCCGTGAAGGTTTTCTAAAACCTTCCACCACTATTGTAGTTATTTTCACTGTGTAATGGATATGAACTAACTGAGTCCATATAAACACAAGACACTCTGCTTCTATTTCCAGTACTACTGTCACATTAAATAGTCCAGACCTTTCAGACTGTGAGGCATGATAAGTGCAACTGTCCAATATACACACTGGTAATAAAATAAATGCTTCTGGTCTTTGTCTTGTTAAGATGCCATATTAAACAGCCAAGCAGTTTTTGGCCAGATGGTCAAAATAAACATCTAAGACACCTTCTCATTTTCAAAGAAAACCAAATAAAAACAAACAAAAAAACCCCCCAAAAACCTCATGACAGCAAGATTAAAAAATATTTGACAGGATAATTTTCTTACATTGGCATTTTTATTATGGTGTGACTTTTTTTTATAAGAGCATTCACAGTACGTGATTAGCTCTCATGACATCTACTATTTATTTTTATTTTGTTTTATTTTTCTTATTTATTTTTGAGGGGGGGGAAGGGCAGAGAAAGGAGGACAGAGGATCCAAAGTGGGCTCTGCACTGACAAGAGTGAGCTCATAAGGGTATAGAACTCATGAACCATGAGATCATGACCTGAGCTGAAGTTGGACACTCAACCAACTGAGCCACCCAGGCACACCAAACTATTTAACGAAATCAAATCCAAAGGCTCAATCTGAGTCCCAGCTCACAATTTGTGTTCTATTGTCATGCTAAAGCAGTAGGAGTCAACAATATGTATGGTTTAAAACTCATTAATTAAATACTTGGCAATAAGAAAGAATGAAATCATGCCATTTTCAGCAACATGGATGGAACTGGAAGGTATTATGCTACGTGAAATAAGTCAGTCAGAGAAAGACAGATATCATATGTTTTCACTCATATGTGGAACTTAAGAAACTTAACAGAAGACCAAGGGGGAAGGGTAGGGGGGAAAATTAGGTACAAACAGAGAGGGAAGCAAACCATAAGAAACTCTTAAATACAGAGAACAAACTGAGGGTTGAGGTCGGGTTGGGGGAGAGGGGGAAATGGGTGGTGGGCATTTAGGAGGGCACTAGCTGGGATGAGCACTGGGTGTTATATGTAAGTGATGAACCACGGGAATCTACCCCCAAATACCAAGAGCACACTGTACACACCATATGTTAGCCAACTGACAATAAATTATATTAAAAAGTAAAAATAAAAAATAAAACTCATTAATTTAAAAAATAAAAACAAATGTACTTTTCTCAGATTTATTTTATATTATTTCTAATATATGTATCATAGAAAACTAGGGATTTAAGAAGATAGCAATGAGGAGGACATATACCCCATGATATCTAATAATTTTTTCATTTTTCTCTTCTTAAGTCAAAAATGTAAGACTTCTAAAATGTTCCTTAATTCCAAGTTTTCTTAACAAAAGTAGATATTCAAATAACAATACATTAGAAATTATATTTGTTCACCCAAGAAAAGTATTTGCTATTGTCTTATATTTAATATGCATTTTTACTTGTTATAATGTTAACTGGCTGATTTTTCTCCATATTTTCCCACAAGGAAGAGGGAATGCAGGTGGATCCTGGAGAATAAACAGAACCTAACCAGGGAAGAAGGAGAGTGGGAACACTTGAGTGCAGAGAACAGTCTGTGAGAAAGTCAGGAAATCAGAGTAAAAAAAGAAAAAAACTTTAGTAACAGTGACTTATTTAGTGTGCCTGGAATATATGGGGGGAAAGAAAAAATAAGAGGGAAAACTAACAAGGTAGTTTAGGGCAGATTCTAAGAAGAGATATAGTCCACTCCAAAGAATGTACATTTTCTCTTTTATGTGGTAGGTAACTACTGAAACTTCAAACAAAAAAGCAAAAGACATACCTGTTTTTGAGTGTCTACTGCCATCCAGACACTGTGCTAGACACACATAACTTGCTAAGTCCACACTTAAGCACTTTGAGATAAGCACTCTTAACCTAATTTTTTTGCTCAACAAATATAGAAACAAAAAAGTGAAAAAATTGTCTAAGGATACATAACTAGTTAGTAGCCTACCCAAGATTTGAAGACTTTTCATTAGCTCATGCTTCTTTCTGAATGTGACATCATTACTTGGTTTTAAAATTTAATCCTAGATTTAGTGTGGAAGGCACTTCCAAAGGAAGCCATTACTGAGGAATGAAAGCTAAATGCAAAGCTAGTTTTTTTAGTCCCACAGGAAAGATCCAAGTCTGAACTAGGGAACTAGGGCAGCAATCAAAGCATTGGGAAGGAGGGAGTGAATAGATAAACCTGATTAGCAATATGCTGTGATAAATAAGAGAAAGCAATATAAGATCCCTCTGGGTTGTTTAGCCCAGGCCCTCAAAATTATGGCAAATTCTTTTCTGGGTGCATTTTAAATATATCCTCCCTGAGGCCCTTCAGTTACAAATGTGCATTAAACAACTTGGATATCAAAGATGGGAGCACTGACGGAAGATTGGGGCATATGATTTTAAGAAGTTCCACATGCAAAATAAATTATGTAGTACTTTCAGTAGATAACAGCTTATTCTTAATTAACCTGCAGACGAAGCATTCCACGTTTTCCCTCAAAGCTCACTTTCCTCTTGGGCAAAACAGAGGCTTGCAAGTCTTTATTCAGACTGAGAACAAAAACCAAGAACCAAGATACTCAACACATTTGCAGCAAGCAATTGCTCTAAGGTTGAGAGCACCTTCCAAAGACAGGAGACAAAACCAAAGTCTAGGATTCAGGCCAAGAGACAGGCAAAAGAGAAGCCGCCACAGGGATCAGGAACACTAGACAACACAGAGGATTGTGATGAAATCAAAGCTGGGACAGGAATTCTGCCTCCTTATATGGAAGGCCTGGCCATTAACTTGACGGTAAGTTTACGTGACTGGTGGAATGTTCTAGTGTTTGCTTCTTGGCAACAGAGATAAACAAGAGGCCTGGAGGCCTGCAGTTAGCTGGTCACTCTCTTAGCACATTCTTTATTTCAATCATTCTTACCTTAACTCTTCAAAATACTTAAAGTTATTTTTACTCTTTATTCTGGATAGAGAAAAAGAAAAACAGGAATTTTGTGGGTTTCAGATATTCTCTTATCTCCCCCAAACTCTCTGTTGCTATTCTAGTCAAACATGGTGAAAAACTCAGTGGTTTTGGTTTAAATCAGTAAAATCTGCATGTTTTCCATTCATCTTAACTTTTATACTCTATGTTAAAACCCTCAGTTTGAATCAGTTCTAAAAATAGATTGCATTCCTAGTGTACTGCTGCTTTTCTTAAATCTGTCTGTTAATTCGGTATTTACAAATGATCCACTGTAAACAAGTAATAGGTAGAACATGTTCCCATATGAAGAATTGAGTAAGATACTTCCTACAATGTTTCTTTGGTCACAATTATGGCTAGAATGTTTATAATTTATACTATCTATGGGGGTAGTTAAAAGTGTCAAAATTGAGGGGGAGAAGCACAAAAAATGCCTCACTCTGAGGTTTTTAAATTCAGAAATCTAGAAATCTAGGCTCAACTATAAACTTCTAGAAAAGAGTCTAGATTATTGCTTCAATATATTCACCAACAAATGATGCTTGCTATGTGCCATAAACCATCTGAGGTGATAGGGAAACAGAGATGGATAAGAAAGAGCCCTCCATTACTGAGAGGCTCACAGCGCTCTTGGAAAGAAAGCAAAAAAAGCATTATAGTGAAATAGACTAAGCATTATAAGAAAGATATACAGAAGGGACTATTTTTAAGTTTATTTATTTACTTTGAAAGAGAGAGAGAGCAAGTTGGAGAGGGACAGAGAGAAGGAGAGAGAGAATCCCAAGCAGACTCCATCCACACTGACAGCGCAGAGCTCAGTGCAGGACTTGAACTCACAAATCACAAGATCATGATCTGAGCTAAAAATCCAGAGTCAGACGCTTAACCAACTGAGCCACACAGGCTCCCCACAGAGAGACTATTAAGATCGTATGATGGTGCGGGGCGCCTGGGTGGCTTAGTCGGTTAAGCGTCCGACTTTCACTTAGGTCATGATCTCGCGGTTCGTGGGTTCGAGCCCCGCGTCGGGCTCTGTGCTGACAGCCAGCTCAGAGCCTGGAGCCTGCTTCAGATTCTGTGTCTCCCTCTCTCTCTGACCCTCCCCTGCTCACGCTGTCTCTCTCTCTCTCCTAGAAATAAATAAAATATTAAAAAAAAAAAAAAAGATCGTATGATGGTGAACCTCCCTTGTGGCTCTCTCCAGGTCCCTGATGAAAAGTCAAAGGGGACTGACTGGTGATTCTTTCTCCCCCTAATGGGAGAAGTTGTATGGTGTCAACTTTCTAAAAGGTCATCAGGTGCTAGCAACACCTTACGCAAATCCCCAGAGCATCACTACATCAAGTTTATCTCCGTTAGCAAGTTCTATTACCACTCCGTTACCAAGTTCTAATTCAGTTGGGTAATTTCTACTTTCTATTGTCACTAATTCAGCTGGGGGCTTATGTACTCCCTTCCAAAGTTCCTAATGAAAAGGAAGCAGTGAGGGCAAACTACATCTACCTCTCCTTAGGATGCTGCAAAGCTAAGAAATCACATATATCATGCTGCTTCTCCATCTTGCTCCTGTGGTATCTACGGCATTTACACCAGCTCAACAGATATGAGCAAAGTAGTATGAGAACTCAGAGAAGGGAGTAGTCATTTTATCCTGGAGGAAAAGTGTGACTCTGGAGTAATGATGGTTGTACAACACAAATGTGTATTAAATTCAAAGTAACCCAAATATCTTTCAGAACTACTATATCACTGAGCTCTGTAACTCACAAATAAATGTAAATTCTGGCATTATTGGGTGCCAAATTAGAATAAGCCTGTCCTCCTAATTACTACTATTAATCAGTTACATCAATATCGTTTCAGTTTAGCTCTCATTGTCCAAAAATAATGATTTATTTTTCTCTTTCATTTCAGGAGGTTGTGATAGAGACTGCCTATGTGCCTGTCCATCTTAGGCCCTCTCCTTGGGCTATGTAGAAAGACTACATTTCTCAGGCCCTCTGACAGTGAGTGGCAAATATAGAACCTTCTTCGAATGTTTCCATATAGTTAATCTTTGACTAGGTATTTACATCTCAGTAGTATTTTTACTTGAAGTTGGTATTTTACCTTGAATTACTACTTGATATTTCACCTTACATTATTAGGGTCACAAAATTGAGTTCTGTTCCAGCACTGGCAATAAAACACACTGGTTATCTCTCTCTTCTCCTATACACTGCTAGAGGCAAAGGACTCTAACATTGCAAAGCTACATGCAGGAGTTATCAGACCCAGAATAGTCATGCAACCCATACCAGCATTTGTATCAGTAGAAAAAAAAATCCTCTGAAATTTGGGGATTATTTTTTAGAATAACTAGGGAGTTATATATATACACACACATATATACATACATATACATATATAAAGTTTTCTTCAAAACACTATATATAGAACATTATATATAGTGCTTTCTTCATAAAGAAACAATTCCTTATTTCATCTCTTAAGATATTTAGAGACGACATCCTGGAAAAAAACCAGGGCAATTTCTTTGTCACAGCTCAATATTATTTAGTTCCCACATTAGGCAGAGGCTATCTCTCTGACCTTGTGATTTTCTTTGAGATAGAGCTGCCTGGAACAGAGGATGTAAGCCATGGATGAGAACAATATGTGAAAAGCATATTTCAGATGTAACTTAGAATAGAAAATGCCAAAAACAACACAGAAAGGGAGGTGAGGGCTAGGAAGCAGGAAAAGAATAAGTGATGGAAAATTTTACAGCTGATAAAAACCTAACTGAAAGTTGGCCATGCAACATGTATTTTCCACTCACTCACTTTGACTCAGTTTAGGGCTACATATCATATTGATAAAAATACTTCTCAGATCTAAACCAATCACCAAGTCAAAATTCCAAGAATATGTGATGTAGGGTCCTGGAAATCATGTGTGTGGTTAAACTGGGGTTCAGACAAGGAGTATGAATTCAGTGCATCCAGGAATACTAGAGGATGAACTCACCAGGGCCAATGTTCCAGACAGACCAAAGACCTGCCTATGAAATAATTCATCCTAAAAGAAGGGAGTTTCATGATGTACAACTTTGGCCTAAAAACAGTGGGACAGAGTTGGAGGAAATGGACTACTTTAAGTATGGCAGGAAGCTGATGCTCATATCTCCCTTTGATGCAAACCCAAAATCTGAGGTAAAGGAGAGACCAGTTAAAGAGGGATAAACACTAAAAAGACAAATTCCCTGAACATTCTGTAAATCTTTGAGAACACATAAGATGGGGTATCAGTCAAGCGATGGTGATGCACTCTCCCCATAGGATTAGTGCCCTGACAGGACAGCACATACTGGATTAAGAAGCAGACCACTCCAAATTCTAGAAAGGACACCTACTAGAAGAGCGTGTGATGCTCCAGTATATATCATCCCCATCATGAGCAGACACTCATGTCAGCCTAATCACTTATGTAGGTGTGGGATCTTGAAAGGATCTCTTGAAGGGGAATAATGTCCTTCTTTCACACTTAGGTTCTGATTGTTTGAGAAATACCATAAAAGATTAAGGTGGAGGCCAAGATATACTGATGTAGCTACGTCAAAGAACAGAGAATTGGGAGATTCAAATGGGTCTGCTAATTCAACCTCAGATTTAGACCAACTTGCTGCTCTGTTGCAGGCAGTGTCAGACAGAGGCACAGTCTCTATATATTGGATGGCCAATGTGGGGAACAAATAGCCACGTGTCTTTTCTCAATTATGACAAGTGTGAAGAGTCAGCCCAGCTCAGAGCTCCTGGCTTGTGACTGGGCCTAATAGTATTGGAGTGTCTGCTCATTAGGAATTGGATTCTATGAGACCACCAAACCATAAAATAAGGTTGGCCCACAGAAATCCACTGAGAAATGGAAATGGTAAATGCAGGGCTGAACATGACCAGGTCTTATCTGTGCCCCATGGCAGGTTAGGCTCCCTTATGACCAATGATGGAGAATGAAAAGCACTAAGTTTGTGTTGGGATAGTATGTAGGTGCAGGCTAAAGATGAACTGCTAATAAAATATAGTTCTGCTAAGGGGTGGACTTAAAATAGAGAAGTGAGGGAAAATCTCCTTAGTGGCACATTTTGTGACAATGCACCTGGTCATCTACTTAATATGGAAAGAAAAGTGACCTGAGGTTAGACTTATAGACTGTGGGGAATGCCTTGGCTAGTGGATTAGGACCTAGAAAAACAATGATTAGAAAATTGAGAATAAGACAGGTAGCTTGGGTGGCTCACTTGAGTGAGCATCTTACTCTTGATTTTGGCTCAGGTCACAATCTCATGGTTCTTGAATTTGAGCTTTGCATTGAGCTCCACACTGACAGCACAGAGCTTGCTTGGGTCCTCTCTCTCCCTCTCTCTCTGCCCCTCTCCTGCTTATGCTCTCTCTCTCTCTCAAAATAAATAAATAAACTTAAAAAAAAAAAGAAAATTGAGAATAAGAAGGTCTAGGGGAGATGCATATGGGTGGACCTACCAGAGTGTTCAAAAGTGAAGGTCTTTGTACCACATGGTAACACTCAGCAGAGATCATTGCCCACACAAAAAGCATAACAACCAAAAAGATAGAATAACTACCAGTTGACCTCAGCCAGCCTGTCATCAGCCAGTCCATGAACAGAATAGCAATGGTGGCAGAGATGGATATGCTTTGGCCCAACAAAATGGACTTCTACTCATGAAGGCTGATCTAGCTACTGTCCTTGCCAAAGCCCAATCATCAAGAAAAAGAGAACCAATACCGAGCAAATGACATGGTACCCTATCTCAGAGGCCAACCAGCCATTTTATGGCAACTTGATTCTATTGGACTCCTTTCACCTTGAAAGAAGTAATCATCTTTACTTTAATCAACATATATCAACCAGGGTATAGGTTTACCTTTTCTGCCAGGTACAGTGGAGGGCCTTAGCCAGCCCCACTCTTTTTTTTTTTTTTTTTTTTATTTATTTCTAGGAGAGAGAGAGAGACAGCATGGGCAGGTGAGGGTCAGAGAGAGAGGGAGTCCCAGAAGCTGAAACAGGCTCCAGGCTCTGAGCTGGCAGTCAGCACAGAGCCCGACGCGGGGCTCGAACCCACGGACCACGATATCATGACCTAAGCGAAAGTCGGACGCTCAACCGACTAAGCCACTCAGGCGCCCCAAGCCAGCCCCACTCTAAGAGGGCTTGTAATTTTTGATTCACCAGGATCCTGTATCACATCAAACCAAGGGACTTACTTCACAGCAAAGGTGATATAGCTTTGGGCACATGGTTATGGGATCCAAGGGTCATATCACATGCCATAATATCCACATGCTGCCAGTTTTATGGAGGAATGGAATGGTCTTGTAAGGCACAGTTGAAACACCATCTTGAGACGACATCCTTTAAAGAAGATGCATCATAGTCTAGAATAAAGAATACACTCTTAATTAACGACCACTGTATGGTGCCATACCCACAATATGTGGAATATGTGGGTCTGGGAACCAAAGGGTCAGAATATGAGCATCCCCATTTGCTATCACTCTCATTGACTTTGCTCCAGAAGATGAATGCTTCCATCAAGGTCAAAACCAGAGTTCTATTAAATTTGAAATTATAGACACCTATTGCTTTCCTTGAGCTCCTTATACCAAGAGTCCACCAACCAGAGAAAGGAGTCATCATGCCAACAGAGGTAATTGATCTTGATTATTAAGAAAAAGTAGGGCTGCTGTTACCAAAGGAAATAAGGAAGAATATTTTGGGCATGCAAATGTTCCCATGAGGCATCTCATGACATCTGAAACAGTACAAGGATGAGTGTAGCATCCAGGCCTGCGATGGGCATGGTAACCAGGGAATCAGAACCCTGAACAATGAGAATCTTGATCACTCCAACACATAAGCCAAAACACCAGCAGAAGTGTTGGCCTAGGGTGAGAGGAATCTAGAATGGGTAAGAGAAGAGAAAAATAATGAAGATCAGCTGTGATCTCCAGACCAAATGTAGTGATGGTTTTGGTGGAGTACTTCATTCCACTGACTTTTCTCCAGCAAATTTTCCCCAGGAAAATTCCCCTATAGCAGCTGTTTATGGATACAGTTGAACACACTATATGAAGCAAATATATTTGGGTGGTGTCAGGGTGGACTGTAATAGATACTATAGGGCACAATCCATCTTCAAAACCAAAGTGCTTTCTCTCCTAACAGCTGAGTTCAAGCTACTAACAGCTTACTGATGAGTTTCTTTCCAGAAATTTTCCTGTTCTAAGAAAGCTGCTTCACCAGGTTTACATCCCCTCTTTGGGAGCAGCCTGGAGCCAATGACTAGTCAATGCAGGGTCCAAAAATTTGGCCTCTTTGCTTAAACTATGTCAACTATGAAGGGCTATTCCACCTCCAAAACTCTTGCTAGGATCATCTGAGACCTCTGATGCAGCTATATTATATATTTGTTTAAACTTTATATGCCATCTTCTTCTAAAAAAAAAAAGAATTGTATCAGGTTATAAAATTAGCATATTATAGAACAGAATAAATCACAATGAAATAAGGCAAAACTAAAGGATATATTGTTCATTGTTCACAACAAAATTTATTTATTAAGGTTATTCTTCAGGTAAGGTACTGGTGTGGGTGCTATGGTCAACCAGGCACATATTATGCTATCTGTAGGATTACAGTTTGATTCAGCAGATGGTATGTGCATAAGCAAAATAGGAAGATGTAAACCTGCCACAGGATTCTAACTGTAACATATATCATTTCTTTGATTCCAAACCACCACTATGATGTAGAAAGAGCTGTTACTATTCTTATTTTATAGATAGTAAATAAAAATTCAGCAAAGTAGAGTGATTTAATCAACTAGGGGTAGATTTACTTTTTGAGTACAATTTTTTTCTTTTACAGCATTATGATAAATGTTTGTTTGGATGATGGTATCATCCCAATCGATGATACATTTTCTCAGTAATCATCAAAAAGCCTCTTAGGACTATCAATTTTGTATCATTTAAGCATTT